TGCGGGCACTGCCCCCGTCGGCCCGGCGCCTGCCCTACTCCGCGTGCCTGGCCGACCTGCGGCGTCGCCGGCGGCGGGGCCGTCCGCTGCTCTGAGGGCGGTCAGCCGCGCATCGAGCGGCGGATCTCCTCGAGGCGGTCGCGGCCCGCGGCGGCCCGGTCGGTCTCCTGCTGCTCGAGGGTGCGGACCTCGGGCGTCTCGCCCGCGAGCTCCTCGGCGCCCGCCGCCGTGGCCGAGCGGCCCTCGATCACCGAGCGGACGTGGTCGAAGGTGGGGACGCCGTCGGCGGTGTAGCCGGTCACGTCCTCGAGCGACGGGGCCGGGTCGGGCTCGGGGTCGGTCACGACGTCAGGCTACCGGCGCGTGGCCCACGAACGCCCCGATGCCGGTCACCGAGCGCCCGACGACCAGGGTGTTGATCTCGCGGGTGCCCTCGTAGGAGTAGAGCGCCTCGGCGTCGTTGAAGAACCGCACGACGGAGTTCTCCAGCAGCACGCCGTTGCCCCCGAGCACCTCGCGGGCACGCGCGACCGCGTCGCGCAGGTGGACCGTGGCCTCGCGCTTGGCCAGTGCCGCCTGCTCGTCGCGGAACGTGCCCGCGTCCTGCATCTGCGCCACGCGCACGGCCATCGCCAGCGACGCGGTGACGTGCCCGAGGATCGTGACGAGGTGGTCCTGGATCAGCTGGTACGACGCGATCGGCGAACCGAACTGCACCCGCTCGAGCGCGTAGTCGCGAGCCAGCTCGTAGACGCCCATCATGGCGCCGACGGCGTTCCAGGCGACACCGCCGCGGGTCACCCGCAGCACCCGGTTGGTGTCGGTGAACGACTCCGCGCCCGGCAGCCGGTTCGCCTCGGGCACGCGGGCCCCGACGAAGGCCAGGTCGGCGTTCTGCACCGTGCGCAGCGCGAGCTTGCCCTCCATCTTCTCCGCGGTGAAGCCGGGCGTGCCCTTCTCGACGACGAAGCCCACGACCTCGCCGTCGGCCCCCTCGGTGACATCGCGTGCCCAGACCACGACGAGGTCGGCGAACGTGCCGTTGCCGATCCAGCGCTTGGCCCCGTCGATCACCCAGTCGTCGCCGTCCCGGCGGGCCGTGGTCTCGAGCCCGCCGGCCACGTCGGACCCGCCGTGGGGCTCGGAGAGGGCGAACGCGCCGATCTTCTCCATGCGCCGCATCGCGGGCAGCCAGCGCTGCTTCTGCTCCTCGGAGCCCAGCAGGTCGATGCTGGTCAGGGCGAGGCCGGCGTGCACCCCGAAGAACGTCGCCATCGAGGGGTCGGCCCGCGAGAGCTCGAGCGAGACGAACGAGGTCAGCAGGCGCGAGTACGCCCGGCGGTCGGGCCACTCGCGCGCGAGCCCGACGACGTCGAGCGCGGCGAAGCCCGGGACCAGCTCGTGGGGGAACTCCGCGGCCGCCCACTGCCGGTTCGCGATCGGGGCGATCTCGGTCTCGGCGAACGCGCGGACGCGGGCGAGGATCTCCTGCTCCTCGGAGTCGAGGAGGTCGACGTAGCGGTAGACGTCGCCGGGCAGGGGCTCGATCGCGGTCATGACTGCTCCCTCGCGGAGAGGACGGCGACCTCGGCGCGGTCGCGCGCGTCGGTCAGGGCGGTGTAGCGGTCGGTCCCGTACGCGGCCTCGGTCCCGGCGACGAGGGCGTCGACGGTGTCGTGGTCGAGGTCGGGGTTCCCGAGGTCGGCCCAGCGTCGGGCCATGCCGGGGCCGAGGTGGTCGAGCATGTGTCTCAGGCCGCCGGGGCCGCC